AAAACCATGCCTTCCCTTTCCTCCATAAAAATCGAGTTTGGCTTTCAATTCCAAGTACAAGAACAACTTATATTATTTATTTTAATTTAATTTATCTTCATTCAATAATTCTTCTTATATTATTTATTCTCTAACTACTTTTAAAATAACATTTTAAATAATTGGAGTGCAATTTTTAATAACATAAATGAACACGTTTGAGTTACTAATCTTAACCTCAATGTGTGAATAAGTAAATAATTGTTTAAAGGGATTAATATTTTACATTTTTGTTAAAAACAAAATTTTTAAATAAGTGACTAAATTAACTCGAATCAAACTCAACTAAAATATTTTAAAAAATTTTGAACTTATAACTCGAACAATTAGACTATATCTAAAAGGTATCTCAATCCATGCCCATGAACACGAGTCAAGTATAAACCAATAAGGTCTTACTTATTTTATTTACTACTCCCATCAATCACCTAATTTAACTAGAAAAACACAATATCATGACATTTATTATGAAAATTAAGAGAGAAAAGTATAGCTTTTAAAATTTTATTTTTACAAATGTTTAAAGTTTTCTAATTTCACACTTTTAGATTTCTGCCGGTATGATTTTTTTATAATACCGATTTTACCCTTATTTATTGCATTTATATTTATTATTGTTATTTTTTTTTTTTTTGTTGAAATCTAAAAGATTTCATTTCTAAATTGTAGGCATAATCTTTTAATTATTGTGGGATTTATACCAATTTTTTTCTTAATCCCTTAATTCACTCATTCACTCATTCATATATTAATGAGATTAGTACATGGATATATCCTATATTAATTACAAAAAGATTATCATGATTTCAATTTCTAAATTAATTAACGTGTAGATTTACCCATGATTTCAAATTCAAAATAGTTGAAAATATACCATCGATTTACCCACAATTTAATGATATTAGAAGTATAACATCAAAAGTTTTCGGCAGCAACAAAACTGGATTATTGTATCTCGCAATATGGTATTTAATAATAGATATAAAACATATCCGTATATAATCTTTAACTATTGAAGTCTCAATCTCATATAAACTTATAGTGTAGATATATATTATATCTACATATGACATTAACCTATTCTATCAATTTAGACACCCTAACACATGTTTCATTATTATGAATTGTTATTATTAACATTAACCTAGCAAATGTAATCGAATACAGTTACAAGAAAAACCTATATGATAAATATAAAATATATCCGACTATTGAGTTCCTATAACTACCAAAATGGTACTTAGTTGTAGATATATATTATATCGGCATATATATAAGAATCCACACCTAAATTTCGCACCACTCAAATCTAGCGACCCAGTGGCAGTGTGGTTCCCTTTGCAGATGATAACATTCTGTACAAAGCTCTGTTGACAACCTGCGACAAACGAACAGATACAATGACAAACTGATTTACGATAGATTTGCTATGGTCTTCTGATCGGTGACTAAACAAACCTCGGAATAAACGGAGTGCTCGAACGATCGATGGACGGTCTATTCCGACGAAGAAGAAGAAGCTCGAACGGACGGAGACAATGGTGTTTGTGGAAGGAGCGCAAACGAGAAAGGAAGAAGAAACGGCGAAACGAGGATGATTTTTTCAAAAATTTGCAATAATAAAAGATTTTGGGGATTTGGTAATTTATATTTTTGGAAAGTATAATTAAGCATAAAATAAGGGATATAAATGTAACATTCCAAATAACCAATTTTGAATTTCAAAAATTAATTAATATTTAAGTGTAAACGTAAAAGGATGTAATGGTAAATTGGTGATGAGTTACATCTTAAATGAGGTTGTACTAATCCCATAAATATACAATCTACAATATTTGATCAGACCTTCGAACCGGTCCAACGAATCGATCTAAATACCATTCAAACGGATTACTATTTAAAAAACAAATATATATTCTTATTCCAATTAAATTTATAGATGGACTGGATTTGATCCAACTAGTCAAAAGCTAACTTTGGATAGGACTTGAATTTGGGTTTACTTGCGCAGCCCAATATTAAGGCTAAACTAGAATAATACACCCATTTTCTCATAAGCCCCACAAAAATTAAAGCAAATCCTCACTAATCATAGAAGATTTCACATGATATTTGATTGGTCCTTACCACCCATTTGCATCCAATGCTCAAAACTTCTCCAAACTTCTTCTCAATAGAAAGACACCATCACATGGCCTCAAAACTAACAAAAGGGATATCCCAAAATTACCCTCTTCCTCTCTCTCTCCAACAAGTCTCAAAATATAAACCACAAAAATATACAAATTTTGGTATATAGAAAAGAAAAAAAAAAGTGTTTTTTTTTTTGTAGTCAAACCATTTTTTAAACATCTCCAAAGGACACACAAATAGTAAACTTAGAAAAGATCTCTCCACCCCCTTCTAATCACAACCAACCACGTGTCCCCATTTCTTGCCTATAAATAAAAAGCTTGAGCTCCATTTCCATGGCACCAACAAAAGAAGAAGAAAGAGAGAAAGGAGTAAACTTTGTCTAAACTTTCTCTCTCTCTCTCTCTCTCTCTCTGTGGGCTCTGCCATGGCTGGCCTTCAATACAACTTCTTCCCCACTGATCTTCTTTACCCTAAACCTTCACAATCTTCTTCTTCCTCAGAAGCCATGAATAGGGCAAGTGTGAGCTTCAAAATAAGCCATCATAGAGGCAATAATAAAGTAGCTGAAGAAGATGATCATCATCATGGTGCTCAGCCCAAAAGTTTGAGCATTCAAAGGGCAGAAATTAGGCCATTGATTCTCAAGCATAATCAAAGCAAGAATAATCTTCATCTCTCAAAACATTCTACTCATGAATGATTCATATGGGTTTCTTGGAAGGGAAAAAAGAAGTTTTCTTTTGCTTTTGCTTTTGATTTTGATTTTGATTTTTGTGTTTTCTTGGGGAAGTTATAATAGTTTGAATGTATCCTATGTGAACAAAGTTTCATTCTCTACTAATAAAGAGGATGTTTCTTTCCCATTTTAGTTTGAAGGGCTACACTTTTTTTTTTCTTTTAGGGTTTGGGTTTGCAATTTATTTTCATATATAATTATTGTTCTTTAATAAACCATATTAGTGTTGATGGAAGATTGTGGATCTGGGGTTTGAATGCTCCAATGAACACCTGCACATTGGAAGTACAACATCCGACACACTCAGATGAGCATAATAAATAGGCTTGTAAAGGGCTCAATCGGGGCTAATACTCTTCGCCGGATGGTTCTTCCCAATCTGGTCAGATTGAGTTTGAGTTGTCGGATGGCTGGACTCACATCACTCCCTTTAAACGAAACCTAATACAGTAATTTCACTCATATTAATAAAATCAATTAGTAATACCCACAAAATACTGATATTAATAATTTATTTTGTGGCTTTGCAAATTATTGTATATGCAACCAACGAATTTTATTGTATGACTCAATAAAAATAAAAATAAGAAATGGTATAGATTATAGAATTGATGCAAATATGGAGTATAATATATGTGCSCAAAAAATCAACAAACTATAAAAAATATCATATATAATACTAACATATAATCAGTTTTGGAATTTTTTATGATTTTTTCCAAAAACATTCCTTGATATCGACATCGACAATTTTAAGTGCAAAATAAGTAAAGATCCAACCTGCCCATATAGTCCATTATATGTTAAAATTATACATCTTTTTAGTATTAATTTATTTTCTAATTTTTATAATGGATGAATGTAATATATATTTTTTTWAAAAACTGCCTGTTGTTAACTTTTGGTAAATGTTGCTATCTTTGATAAATATCATGTTGTCCACTTTAATTTGTTTAAYTAATTAAAAAAATGTCATTGTTTTCTAATCATGTTTAAAGGGGACAAAAAGTTTTAATTAAACAAATGTCATTGTTTTCCAATTCATGTTTAAAAGGGACAAAAGTTTTCAAACAATGTTCTTGATATATATATATATATATATATATATATATATATATATATTTGTCTTTTTGTAAAAAAAAATTACTTTAAAAAATAAAAAATTATTACCTGAATTCGCTTTCTAAAATTTTGAAAATATTTCAAGAAATGAAAAAATTAAGAAATAGAAAACATAAGAAAAATTATTAAACTTTTTTCCAAATTTATTAGGCATATGTTTTTTGTTTTTTCTTTYGAGGTTAGAGTTTTAAATTTTCACACTTCACAATTGTTGTACTCTAAAAAACTAATCATATTTTGGTCTCAAATTTTTAATATTACATCCAAGACGTCCATTTTACTCYTTAACTATTTTTTAAAAATAAATCTTTTTGTTTTTTATATCAATTGATTAAARGATAAATAATGTTATATTAAGTAACTGAATAGCTAAAATAGTTATTTTTTAAAACTTTCAAAACTAAAATATACACATTTACAAAATTTATAAGTAAAATAGTTATGCTCAAAAATTTCAAAATCCAATCATTATCAAATGGAACTTATTAATTTTAATTTTTTAAATAAAGAAATAAAAATAATTATCAACAATTCAGGTGATTAAACATTTACCTCCAACTAAAAAATTAAGGAAAAAATCTGAGCATAATTATATTTTAATGTATAAAGAAAACTACAAAATCAAAATTTACCGTGTCGTCGTCACATGACTTTCTAAACCGACATATCGTCACTCCATACAGCCTCCAACGTATTTTTAATAAAAGAATATGCTTTTAGTTTATTTTTATATTCCCTTTCAAAAAAAGAGTTTCTTTTTATATTGTTATTATTATTATTGCGCATGAGTCATGGAGTCACCTGAATAATTGTCATCGTTAGTTCTTGTTTTATTATTATTTTTTTAAATAGATTTTTTACCCATAGGCTTGTTTAACTGTATCGATTTTTTACCCTAAACTGAAATTGAACCTTAGATTTAGACAAACATTACAATTTTTACCTTCTATCTAACTAACACTAGTTTTTACAAGTTCTAAACTATTTTTTCCTTTTTAACAAGATACGAATAGATTAATGAAAATAAATAAAATATTCAAAAAAATACAAATGATGTGGGGAAGAAAAAAAGACCAGAGAAAGCAAAATTGTAAACAAAGTAATACAACGAAAAAAACCCGACCAAGAAAAACTACAAGGCCAAAACGGCTTCTTCCTAAAAGAGCCTCCCAATAGCAAGGAACCGAAGATAGAAGCTTTAGGAGTTCCAAACCGTTACCAACAAACCGAACACAAACTATACAAATCCAGACTTTCAAAACTCATTTTCTTCTTCAATCTAAACACAACCTACGCAAAATTATGTTTTCCAACCCCAACCACCTAAAATGTTTTTCAAATCCCATGAATGAAGTGGTGTCCCTAAAACTATGAGGGTAAAGAAATTTCCAAGCAGTTACATTCAGATTACAATCCAGAACAACAACAAAGAAAAAAAAATCATAGGTGTTAGCGAAATTGAGTGAGAAATCTGCAATTCCTGAATGATATTTCCTTCTGTTCATATCAGCAACCAAAAGTTTGCCTCAAGCCGAGCTCATTCCAAGCATCTTGATAAGCTCAGACTTCTAAACGTGCCCTCTAATGACCATTTATATTTCAAGCTTCATCTTCAAAATAAATGCTAAGATTTAACATGGTATTGGATTACGAAGAACAAGGCGGCAGCTGCCTGCACATAAGAATCGAATCGTGGCATAGATGCCAATACTCTTTATATGGTATGCGCATCCATGGAATCGGTGAAGGAAGACCAACTTTCGGTGTCAATGTCGTTCTGCTGGATGGATAGGATTCATATTAATGTCCAGCTTGGGGGTGGTGTAGTTACCGTAAGATTTGTAACCCAAGGAAAATAAATAAATAAATAAATAAAAATAAAGCAATTTATTTACCTTCTTCCTGTCAGGATTCCACGAAATGTAGAAGCTAGTATCGGTCGGGTGAAGCCAGAGAAAATATTTCTGTAGTGAGGCAGAACTAGTCCACCTGAAATTTCAGTATCAGTAGATAATTAGCAAATAAAAGACTATAATGTACATTTCATCCTTGAACTACATAAGACCGTTTAACTTGGTCCTTAAAACTTTAAATTGTTTCTTATATACCTCATAACTTATTTTATTGTTTCAAAGTTGCCATTCGCATGAAGTGGCAGCTACTTGTTCTGATAGTTCGCTTATAGGTTAAGAACTATAGTTCAAAATTATTAAAATTCAAGGCCTCAGAAACCTGTGTAGTAATCGGAACTCATACCTTTGAAAATTTTTAAGTTCAAGAACCAAATTGAGAATTCATAAGTAATTGAGAGATCCAGTTTTGGCAAAAATCGAGAAGAAGCTCGACCGCTGGAGACGATACAATTTATCTAGAGGAGGCCGGATGATATTATGTCAGTCAGTCCTTTCTAGCATTCCTCTCTACTATCTTTCACTGTTTCAAATTCCTTCTGGAATTTTAAACAAATAGAAAGAAAAATGAGAACCTTTCTCTGGAACAGCGGCTCTAAAGGGGCTATAAACCATTTGGTTCAATGGAATCTCGTTTCTAAAAATATGGAAGATGGCGGTCTGGGGATTGGCAGTCTTTCAAAAATGAATCTTGCCCTATTAGGCAAGTGGGGTTTGCGATTCGGCTTTGAAATCAATGCTTTATGGCGCCAAGTTATAGCTAGCTTATATGGTGAAATCGATTTCGGTTGGTCCTCAGGGGAAAGGATAAATGGTTGTCTAAGATGCCCTTGGATTAATATCTCTCGGCATTGGAAACACTTCAATCAGTTTGCTGTCTTCAAGTTGAGTTCTGGTTCTCGGATACTATTTTGGAACCACATTTGGATAGAGGATAGGCCTTTATCAATCAGATTCCCGAAAATATATTGCCTCTCGTTGTCTCCTTCTGGTTCAGTAGCAGATTTTTGGGATTCACAGTCTCAGTCATGAAGAATTCTTTCTCGCAAAGCTTTAAAAGACGATGAGGTGGAGGAATATGTGTCACTTTTGTCCCTCTTAAACACTTATTCTCTGATCAATGGCTCAGACAGCAGAGTTTGGTCCTTAGAATCTTCAGGCTGTTTTACCGTGGCTTCCATTCGGAAGTCCCCTTCAGACGAAGCTATGCCATCGGACTTATCTAAAGCCATATGGAAGACCAAGTGTCCTAAAAAGGTTTGTTTTTTCACCTGGATTCTTTTATATGGAAAAGTAAATACAGCTGAAGTTCTTCAAAGAAAGTTGCCTAGTTATAACCTTATGCCATCTCTCTGTCCTCTATGTCATTCTAATGGAGAAAGTATGATCCACACCTTTTTCCATTGCCCTTTTGCATTGTGCTGTTGGGAATTACTTTTAAAGAAATCCAATGTCCTGGGCATTTGACAACTCAACAGCAAGGAATATCCTCCAGCTTCTACAGGGCCCCCCTTTGAATTCTAAAGCCACCCTTCTTTGGCATAACGCCATTAAGGCCGTGCTTTACGAGATATGGTTTGAAAGGAACTCTAGAGTCTTTGAAAAAAGGAGTCGATCATCAACAAAAAGTTCAAGGCTTCAAATGGTGTTCTTTGCGAAATTATTTAGTATCTACTCCCCTAGCATGATTTGCTACAATTGGAATGCTTTTATTGTAATTTGTTAAGTTTTTTATTTGTTAGTTTACTTTTTTCACTCTTTCGAGAGTTTGTATCTTTGGACATTATTATTCCTTTTCATTATTTCAATGAGAAGTTCGTATCTTGTTCAAAAAAAATTGAGGGATGGAAATTCTACTASCAGAAGCTACTCTAAAATAAGTACAAATAGATATATTGAAAGGATTTTTTAGTTTCATATGCATGCGGTTAAAAACAAAGCCTGTCGATGATTCACCTCTTTTAATACTAAAGAGTCCAGTTCATGATAGAGAACTGACCTATGCCCATTAAGTTGCTGTGAAGACATGAAACCAAAACTGTAGATTTCCCCATGATTATCTCCTCATTCTGCTCCAAGATCTTAGTTGGTAAATCAAACTTTTCAGGAGAGTTTCTGTCCAGATGACCCGTAGAATTGATGTGAGAAGAAATGATTTCAAACCATATCCCAGAAGGAAATCTTTTCCGCTTCACCAACCAAAGAAAAATTTTGGTATAGGGTGTAGCGTGAATTATGGAAATTATGACTTCAATTAGCAATCTGATGAAGCTGATAGCTGAATTCAGAATGCTAAAGAAGACATAGAAGACTGACGTAGTGGGTAAAAGAAGTAATAGTGGTGTAAACATAAGCGATCCAACAATATGTTGCTTCACAATGTAGTCATAACTATCTATTCTCTTCCGAAGAGGATTCTGTTTTTGACCCCTGCAAAGAGATTCAGCAACGTCAGAACAACTTCAAGAACAAGAAACATTCACCAAGACAAAACTAACGTTTCAAAAAGTTTAGATAGGTCTTTGCATTTGCTTATTCACATCTATATGATTAAGGTATTATCCTCCTCGCACCCCATTCTAAGGACGCTTTTAGATGTTTAAAGTCACTTAGTAATACAACACTCTTTCCAGAATTCAAACTCTCCACCATTTCTCCTTTCTTCATAACAAAAGCAAACGGCTTCTACCAAGATGAAAATATTTACGGGATAAGTTTACAACTCTATCGAGCATCTCTGTAATTGATAAGAAAGCATCTATGAAATTTTTATCCATGGGTCAGACTAAACACCTGTAAAAGGCACGTGAATGGTTCCAAATTCCTAGTTTTAAACACACTACCAGAACTTTCTAAAGCCAGACAAACGAAATGCCTGCTTGCATAATAAGTAAAGAAGCTACATTCAGATAGATTCAGGCATCAAAATAGCCTTTTGATATTGCTGTAGTAGGCTGACAGCCACCCTAGACTTCACACTTCTCCAGAAGAACACAAAAGAAAAGAAAATATCAAGCTTAGCAGACCAAGGGCACAGAATTTGTTTTCCTACTATAAACAAATACATAAGAGCATACTGGATTTTGTTCATTGCGTATTCACCCCATCATGCTAGTAATGTAATGAACTTGTGTTGGTTTAAATTGATGTCACTAGTTACAATTTCATGATAAAACATAACGGCTATACACCCAATTGGCCAATTTGAATGGATCCCAAAAKGAAGTTACCTAAAAATGCGCCATAAAGCTGCTAATGCCTGTATCTGTGATGAATATATGAGGGAGATAAACCAATGAAGAGTTGACACGTGGCACGTCACAACTGAGATCAGATCTATGGTCAGTGCAGCAGGCAAGGTCACTCCAAAAAGAATTCCCGATATAGCAAGTGCTTTGATGACATAAATAAATATAAAACCAAAAAAGAACCAAAGAGTAGACCAAATTTGGATTGCATTGAGAGAAATAATGCCAAAAACTCCGGCCAATTCCATGTTTAACTTGAAACCCGCCGGAACACCCATCAACCACACACAACCCGAACGCAATATGTGGTTTGTGATATCCCTAGAAAGGTCTAAAATGAACGAGCAGGCATGATCTACATGACATAACAATGCCACACCAACCACGTTTCCCAGCAAAACATCAGCAGCTATGCTTGACCACATTGAATGCTTCTGTAAAGAAACTTTCTCAGCATATTCAACATTTGATATGGACCTTAGAAGACAAAAAGAACATAAAAGAGGAAACAGTTTATTGTCTAAGAAACAAAAACCCCACCTACGTAAAACTAATAGAGCCAGAAAAAAAAATCCAAATAGAGCTTCTTACCTCATCCCACGCTCTTGAAGTATAATTGGCCAATACAAAATTTGACAACATCGAACATGCACATTTGTGCATGTGGTCCTAAATATTCTTGTGGCTACACTAGATATCCACAATTGTGAACCAATACTATGAAGTTTATAAGAAAACTGAAAAGTCATGTAGAAGAGAGTGGAAAGTGAAGCAAAAGACACAGCCAGAAGACTCCACATGAATGAACGACACCTGCAAAGCACAAGTATTGAACATSTAACGGTTCAAGTAAATAGTAATAGAGTTCACCTGCAAGAATCAAAGCCATAAGAGAAATACCTGTCAGCGATTGAAAACTGAAGAGATCTTCTAGCATGCAAGTGTCTTTCAAGTGGCCGTTTAGCAGCTGCAGCACAGTTGATAGCGAAAATGACAGTATCCTGTACGTGGTAAATTGGCATGTAACAAACTACTATTCTGCATGCCTGAAAAAATGAATTCTTAAAACTTCCCATACCAAGTCAAAACTTAATTCCTTTTGTTGAAGTTCATCAACCCAATTTGGTTTCTTGAAAGATGAATTTGCTTGCTTGGTTGAATTTGAAGGTTGCAATGAGAAATGATGGCAGTTATATACAGGAGAATCATAAAATATGACCTACATAAATTCAAATCAGACAGTTAACCAAGATTAAATAGTAAAATATCAGGAAAAAAACGAAGTTCCATGATTAATCATGACTTACATACGTGAACATCACAATTAGACACTTTCTGCCCATTCCAACAAAGGTAGTCCAACTTAGGAATCCAAAATACTTCTGAGTTTTGGTACTTCTTATCAGAATCAAATACCAGGAACACCCAACTACAGTTCCACTTATGGACTTGCCCAGATTTCTCTGACAACCCACCTAAATAATGGCATTGGCATTGGCATTGGCATTGGCATTGGCATTGGCATTGGCATTGAGAGGTGGATCTTCCAGAGCTGCCTGTAGCAATACCTTCACTATTCATCCCACACTCATAGTGACGACAAGAAGTTTTTTCTCCATTGAACACATCAATGCCGTTGCTTGAAAGAACTCCACCTTTTGGAGCACAGTGACCAAGTAGAGAAAACACTGACTTATCATGCAAAACTGTAGGCATGATCCTGCCTGTATCACAAATGACTTCCTGGAAGAAGGTATAAATACAATCACTTGAATATTACTTGAGCATAAAATAATGGTTAAAAAATTGCATTCCCATTTAAGGAATAAGACAAGGAAAAATATTGGCAAGTGATCCTAAAAAGATATAATTATAGAAGATGGTAAGTTTTTCCAGGGACTCGGAGAAGAGATTAGCTCCTACAGGAATTGCATGAATACATAGACGACCTAGGTGATACCTTAAAAAGGAAAGAAAAAGAAGTCTTGTGAAAAATGATTTTAACTCGCCCTACATGCTCTAATGGATTTCTATAGAAAAAAGTCATATATCAGACAAAATGTGTTTCTTCTTGCTCCTTCGAGTCTCAACCATAACTACTGTTCTTTGTTACTTTCCAGCTACTTAATATTCATCATAGTCATTGATTTAGGATATTCATAACTCATATCTATGCATCCAAGCTAATTGCACATAAAGAAATGATCCGTATACAAGCAACTAAAGTATTAACCAAATAACTACGAACTCTCAATCATTTTTCCTATAGTTTCATTATTCTTTTTCCATTTCTCAACTGCCCCACGTGAACATTATTAATAACTCACCCGCATACATCACGAATCATAATGAATAAATTGAAATACCTAAATTGCATTCCTCCTAAAACAAAATGAATCGAGAAAGATTTCCCATACCATGCACCTGAAAAAATGGCACAAAGCTTGTAGCAACAGTGTGGAAGAAGAATGCCATACCTCGAGGTCACATTGGAGTTGAGATAGTGAAGCATCACTACAAGTGAATGCCACTACAACGTCCAGGGAATCTGAAGAAGGCACAAACCAGCCAAACAAGAGACAGGAAGACGACAGTTCACAAGGTGAAAACTGCTTGGGCCACCACAGCCGACACTTCCTCTTCACTTCCATCTCATGATTATTATATCCGCTGAACCATCATATACTCTGAAATACAACAATCCACACATCACGTAAGACCTAGAATACTAAATAGCTAAAATTCCAAATGCATAAAGGAAAGTTCTAGTTCACCCATGAAATTGCAAGAACATTTTCATATAATACGAATCTTCCTATAAGAAAAACGATTCGTTCTATAATCTAACATAGAAACACGACTCGAACTCTATCCGTGGATTCGGGCAGCACGTCACAGGTAAAACAAGTTTAAGAATGGAGATTACAAGAATGTGCTCTCATACCTTCATTTGAGAACTGGTCAGATTGATGAAAATCTTAGAAATCAAGGAATACCGGCRCGCTTTGAGAGAGAGATAGAARAGAGAAACTGATTACCGAAGAAAGATCGCCAGCGGTGGCAAGAGACGGTGGGATTTGGGGGACGCCGCTGGTCTGAGAGTAGAGAGAGAGAGACTTGTAAGASAATAAGATCGAGAGGCTGAAGGCAAAAATGTGTCCATTTTTTATTGATCAAATTTAAATCATAAGCTTAGTCCCTTTTTTTTAAATTTTCTCAGATAATTATCTAAATTTTGATGTTGTGTTTAATAGATCTTTTATATAATTTCTCAATTTTTTAGAAATATTAGCGTTGGTTAACTATTTTTCTTCTCATTTTCTAAAAAAAAAAGCAACTATTTTTCTTCTCTATTTCTCATTCTCAAGAAACACTTCTGAATTTTATAGACACGCATAATAATATTATTAAAATAATAACAATTTTTCAAAAAAAAAAATTATTTAAGAAAATAATAAACGAAGAAAATAAATTTTGAAAACGTAAGTAATTTGGAAACTTCAATAATTTGCAAAGTCATGTTTATTGGAGTTTTAAGATTTTAAGTTGAATTTTCAATAAAAAAATCATTTTATTACAAATTTTTTTTTTTATAAACTTTTCAAACAACCATTTGGTTAAGCAATAATAGTAATTGTTTGATAATAATTTTACCAACTCCATAAAACTCGAACTTGWAAGAGGCCGACGAATGAGGGAATTTGCACTGAGAGAGTAAACAGCTTTGACGCTTAAGTCGGTCTCGGTTCAAGCTATGCTCCATTCGAGGATATTTTTTCCTACTTGAATAATGAGGCATAATTCACTACTTATAGAGGTTGGGYTTCTGACAATGGTTGAGGAAGGGTTACAACAATCCTGCAAATCACGGCTTTGTTAGCGACGAACAACATGATGATCCTCGAATCAATCTCGAGAGTGAGCCTACCAAGATTTGTTGGTCGGCTCAGACTTTGCAAAGTTTTGGACGATCAATCTCATATAAGTTGGCTCTATTGGGAAAATAGTTGGAAAATCCTTAGGAATGGTTACGTACAGGATACCGTTAGGAAAAATGGCCAAAGTTTTCATAAATTGCATATCATGGCCACATTTGATTTTTCGAAATTTARGGGAGGGGTAGAATTCCATATTTACCCCTTACACGTTCCATGCCCATATTGTTTTTGCATCCTTTCTCCATTTTACCCCTCCACGCTTTCAGCCTTTCATTGGTTCTACGGTTGCTAGCACYGATAATAGATTCCATCTGCAGGTCGAATTCACMTCCGAACGTCTTTCGTACCAACCAAAGGGCGTGACTTACAGAACGGTCTCGAGAGGACTTCTTCGCATCGATGAAATGAATCTCTGTGGACTAGAGGTGAAAGCTTCGTGGGGACTACTTTACAACGACGCACGACGGCTCGTAGGGGGTTTCATATTTGGTTACCCGAAGCTCATGTAGAGGCACCTACGGCAGGATTCGTCATCCACATTCGAGAAATCACATGATCAAACCGCAAGATCCCTAAAATCTCTCCATAACCAAACCAACAAGATCTCTACTTAATCAAACTACCAGATCTACATATATCATTCAAACTATTTTAAAATATTGACAACTTGTCTCCAACATAATCTAATTTTTAACAAACCTATCTAATTACTTAGTAAATCCCACTGCAATTATCATCTTAAATACGGTGTCTCTTAAATATTCTTACACAAGTTTCATAAATCTCATGGGCACTATGGTATTTGTGTATTTCATTTATTAAAAAACCTTAAACAACGACACAGATGTAAACCTATTGATCGATTATTTCATAAGTGTGTGAACTCATATACATCTGACGTTTTTGGATTTTATATGAGACAATTGGAACATATAGTACCATCTATTAGACGGGAGCTTCAAGAAATAGGCTATCATAAGTGGGCTCATGCATTCTCAGTGAAAAACCGATATGCCTTGACGACAACAAATATTTCGGAGAGTTTGAACTCCACCCTCAAAGAAGCTTGTGAGTTGCCAGTTATATCTCTTTTAGAAAGTATAAGAGATCTTTTGCAAAAGTTGTTTTATCAGCGAATGTCGTTTTCTAATTTTCAACAAGTAGATATCACCCCATGAACTGTGAAAGCACTACGTTCATCCTTGAAGGAGAGTCACACAATGGATGTAAGATTTAATTTCACAGCATTTTATCCACTAATTATGTTTTTTCTTTGTGCTTTTTTATTGATATATTTCATATGTCATTTTATAGATATACCCGGTCCCGTTCAAAATCCAAGTACGAAGCAACCACTATGAAGTTCATATTCTTAACCGTACATGCACATATAAACAGTGGGACTTAGACTTGATCTCATGCCCACATGCATGCCTTGCTATTGGTCRGAGATAGTTGGATTTAAATACGTTTGATCATGATTTCTATCAAGTGTCAACATTGCAATTATTATACCAGGGCGACGTACYTCCAATTGGTCAGACTCACAWCATTGCCTCAACATTTGGTCAAGACGAGATAGACATCCTCCCTCCAAATGTAAAGCGCTCTGCTTGTAGGCCACGAAAAAAGAGACTTGTTGCTCTTGTTGAAAAGAGATCGACAGTAAAATGTGGTAGATGTGGTCGGTTAGGACACAATTGTAAATGGTATAAAAACGCACTCTAACATTGATTTGTTCTTTTTTTATTTGTAAGCTTTACTGTCTTTTTTCTAATAAACAGTGAGAGTTATTTTATTATTTGTTTTCCAGTCAACAATTTTACACCATCACCAATTTGGGGTTGGATAGGGTCGTTACAAATAATTACATTATATAAGTTGAATTTTGATAACATAGTACTAAACAGTCCATACACATTATATATATGTAGCTACTYCATGGTAAAAAAAAGAATCATATGAAATCAGCATAAGATAATCTTATCTCTAGTTATCAAATGCAACCAGATATAAGATTAAACTGTCCATACATAGTATAAGTACGTAGTTACCCAATTTTCCAAAGAAAGCATAGAGAAAGTTACAACAAATAATTTCTTRATTCTGCAACTCAAAAACAATAGTCAACAAAAAAGACATAAGCATTTATTCATCAATATTATAAAGGGAGCAACACGGTGTTTGACAATCTAATTTTAACATTAATTTATTGTTTTTATTGCAATCTAATCTTAACAATAAAATCGCAAGTCTCCCACCAGACGACCATATCTAGACAGTGTCCTACAAAATTAGTCTGTGTCTAACAAAATCCCTCCAAAATAGGAGGTTGTTAACAGATTAAGAAACATTCAGTACAGATCGACATTTATTGAAGGAACATACACTTAAACGGTCTATTATTTAAACATGGAATATTTAGTACAAAGCCGTTCGAATAAAATTGCAAATTTATTATCAAAGTAAATTTTAGGGGAAGAATCGAAGACATGCAGTTGGAAAAATTTGGAGCTTGAGACAGTCGTTCGAATGGAGCTTGAGGTATGGAGGCGAAACTTTACGGTTTACGCTTGTAGGCAGGCGCGATATGCAAGTTCTAGAGGCGTGAGACATGTGGGTTCGAATGTCGCTACAACAATGGAGTTAGGGCATGCGAAAAAGAGAGTAAAAGAAAATGAAAGTTGGAAGAAGGAATTTTTATGTTGCTTTCCCCTCCATGATCGAACCGACATGGTATTAATTTYCATCTTCTCCAATGCAACTACCCATCTATATATATATTTTAAAAACAAAAAACAAAAGAAACTTCATTCAACAACAGAACAATCATGCTTGACCAAAGTATCAAGCCAATTAGGAATAGTTACATCCCAAATACCACTCTCTTGTAATCGCAAGCTCTCTTTGGAATGGAATGAGCACATAAATTTGTTGCTCTATCCACCTTGACAAAAGACAAAATGTTCAAACGTTGCTTCATGCACAGGATTYCATTCGAATTTTCAATTCTTTTTTATTCATTTTCCGCCTTTCTAAATTGATTTTATATTTTTGTTAGTCCATTTTACATTTTGATTCAATCTTAATATTTTTTTTATTTCAAAGTATGCATTTAACATATTTTATCGTACAAATTTCGAAATTTCTAAATCTACATGTTATTTTAAAAATTTGAACTTTATAATTTTGATTCACTGTCTTGTTTCCTAAAATTAAGGTGTACTAAAGATTTGTTTCAAGGATATTTTGGCACAAATTTGTAGGGGTAATGTCAGTATAATTTTACTTATTTTGATGGGAGGGTATATTTGTCCATAAAATTCTACCGTTCAACCCTAACCGACTTTTAGTCATTTTCATGATATCTGATTTTATTGATCATTCTTCARATCGAACTATTTAATATAGTCACTCCTCCGATTGCCCAAAAATAGTTTGTCAAAACAAGCRATGTAATTCGGCAAAAACTTTAAAAAGCTCAAAATCTCCTTTCTGCTTATTCATTAGGTTTGCCGCCACTTGTATAAATATTTTAGTGTTTTTTAGGTTTAGCCATGAATTGGAATTAGTTGCGTTGTTGCACGACATTGAGGGACGGCAGCAGCTGGTTTTGGCAGACCAGTGAGSGAGAATGAGAACTTTTGGATTGTACTGCATCCTCAACAATTTGTGCACGTAACTATGAGTGAGGTTTTTCATTCTTATATCCTAGGTCCCTATTGTTATAATTCATAAAAGCTAGTTGACTTTTGTTGTGGCATCAGAATCATAGTAGAACCCCCGTGTAGCGGAAGACTAGATGTAGCTGGTGATTTGGCGAACCAATATAAATCTTGTGTCATTTCTGTGGGGGGAAAATATTCTTGGTGARCAATTTTCCAACAAACTCGACCTTTATGAAGTGTTGAGTTGTTTATTTTTCTCTTCAAAATTTGATCTTCATGTGAAGTTAATAGTTCGACGATTTTCGACCTACCAAATATTGACACATGGCATCCGAGAAATCACCTCCAATCGTAATAATCCATCTATTGTGTCTTCAAAACATGCATTTAGGCCCCGTTTACTTATCCGCAATCGTAATCAAGGAATCGTAATGAAAACTTTCATTTCCTTGGTGTTGTTTACCAAATTGTAGGAATGAAATCAATGGTGGGACTCATCTCAAACCTTGTAATCTCACTACATAAAAAGG